CCAAAACCTTGCCACACAGACCCGTTACATTGGTGCATGGGGCTGGGGGGGACTGAGTAGCTCACCTCTTTCTGCAGAAACAGTTGTTACAGTGGAAGTTAGTTGTAGAAGGTAAAGTCCAAAAAGACAAATGGCAAGCAAGGATAAATTGGTAAGACCAGCAGTGTCAAATACAGGAACAATGTCCTGTTCCCTTGTCTCTCTGGACATAAAAGATATACAGCAGAGGAAGGGAGACTTAGAACAGCTTGGCAGCCCTCTGAAATCTGCAACTATAGCAGAGAATAGCCTTCCAACAAATTTTTATGGGACAGGCACATTGGCATTGAGCAATAAGAAATTAACAACTTGAAGACAAAGAATGGCAAAGGTCTAATAATAAAGCAAGATGAACACCTTGACGTTTTCATAGTGTATCGGTAGCATTTGATAAAGTATATAGGGCTAATAAATTACCACCCAGACTACTTCTGCCGTTGTCTCTTTAGCTGTTGTCTTGCTACAATGCATCTTCACTATGCTTTCAACCCTTGACTGCTATCTTGCTGCCAACTTGAGAAAGAGAAGGAGAATCCCATGGCAAGAGAACTTTCAAGTAGCAGTCAATTCACTACAGAAAAAGCCACTTTGAAACTGCTAATGCAGATTTTTTGTAACCAGTCTCCCTTGAGGAAATCAGCGGTGTTCGCAACTTATTCAAAGAACTTACGCCTGATGAGACTGAAAGGGGGTTTTTTCTGTATATATATACATACAAACTTGGTTTTATGTAAACTAACAACAAATAATTTAATATTGGACAAATCTTTCAGACGTAGATATCTGCCATAGGTTATACTCTTCCAGGGCTTCACTCCAGAATTTTCCAGGGAAAATGCACAGTGCAAATGGAGTAGACTTAGCTGGCACGTCCCACCAGTACTTGAATTACGATGCACATGAGTAAAGGCTACTGCTTCATAAAAGCCAAATCCCTGTGGTCATCTTTCCTGTCCCCAGTTGTAACAGCCACCTCTCACCACTCTTTCAAGTACTACCGTGTGAAGTGTGTGGTGCTAGGCACAACTATACCCACACTGTACTCTTTTGAGCTATGGCTCTTGGGACATAGTACAAAAATTTTTTGTAGACAGTAAGTAAAGCTTATCTGCTTGAGGTAAAAGCTACAGCTCACAGTGCTGCTTCACCAAAATACCCCTCATATTATGAGCTGGCAGGATTTTCAAGAACAGCAACACTTCACATAACAAAAGTAGTCTCTGCGGGATACCACATCACACAGTCTAAGTAATGGTCCTACACACAGGCAGGTCACAGTCTTCAACTGTGAAAGTACCTCTTTGTATCCCACGTTGTATTTGAGGCACTCACAACTGCTTGCGTGAATCTCTTCCTGGGTGGACACAAAGTGTCTCAATAGGTAACTGTCATATTGTCTTCTTTCCTGGAGCTCAGACCAAAGCTCAAGCAGCTTTGTCTCCCTTCCCTGCTGGCTCACCTTCAGAGAAGTATTAGGTGCGGTTGCTACAACAAATGTTAGTCTAGATAAGAATACAGAGTCACAGAAAACCCCTACTATTCTTCAAAGTGCAAGACTGTGTCCACTCAGTACTGTTCATAACACCTGACACAGCGACTGATACAGGGACATCGATAGAATGACTGCTGTAAGCAGAGCAGTTAACACAAAAGACTCCCTCCACAACAGCTACTTTTCTTCTAAACCGTAATAAAGACAAAGACAGCAAATAAACAAAAGAACCGGTACAAATAGAAAATGGTTTATTTAAAAACAAAACAAACAAAATCACACTTCAATGTAACAACTGACTTTAATTTAAACTACGTACCCAGCATCCATGCTTCAGAAGTCATGTAAGCATGCATATGGAAGGAAGGGAAGCTGGGTCCTGCTGGCAAAAAAACCCTCAAATACTCCCCTGGAGTGGTCTTTAGAATATATTAAGCTTGTTAGAAGGGTATGAAGTTTGAATTCCTACAGGACACTGAGGAAGTGAAGAACAGGTGTCTGTATTTACACATACAGGATTTTCCATAACCATCTTTCAAACAGAAATACAATTTGCTGCATTTCTAACAGCTGTAAAAACAGTGACAAATATGGGAAAAAGTGCAGGTAAGCATGCATACTGCAAGTTTTTTGTACTTTTTTTTTTTCCTAAGACAGTTTACTTACGAGGAAGTATTTAATTTTATTTCACAAGTCTATGCAAACTACTTACATTAAAAGTATTCAAAAGATAGCCCTTTTGAATACTCAGTCATCAAGAATTACATGTGAAATGTAGCTTTTGTATGCAGGATAAGACTTTCCACATACGAACAATGCCGCAATCCTCCTTTATAACAGAAGGGAATGGATTATTAGAATGCTATTCCTAAAACATTCTTAATTTTAAAGTAACTATTTCATTGATATGACAGTTTTAAAATGAGCTCTTTTGAAAGCAAGCTTTCAAGATCATCCAAAAGGAACTTACATGCATGCTTTGCTTTCATTGCTAAAGTCATCCCCGATGAACACAACTCAGGTCTATAGTTTAGGTATGTGACGAAGATTCTGAAAAGACTTTTTTTTTATCGAAGAAGCCGTTCAGTCTCCTTGGACTTGCTTTCCTTTGTTTTCCTCAGTAATGCCTGTTTTATAGCATTGATCTTTTCATCAAGTTCAGCCAATGAATAGTTCTGCTAAAAGAACAAAATAAAACCCACAATCATTTACATCTTGTAATTGCTAGAGATGTGGCCTAGCACTTTACACTTGAGGTCACTGCATACTGCACTAAAGGACAGAAATGCTTTTGCAGAAATCTCTGTAGTCTACAGCTATTTCAACTTGAAAGAAAAAGAATGCAAACTTAGAAGAAACTGACAGTCCTAATCATGGATCAATATACCCTCGCTATTTCCATTAGATGCTTGTTTAACCTGTTCACAAAAAAACCCAAAAATCCTTTGATGTTAAAACACTGGACAAGACTATCTAGATCTTGTAGAACCCAGCTTTACAACTGAAGGGTTTTTTTCCTATCACCCAACATCAACCTCCTCTGTGCCCACTTAACGTGGCAATTTTTTTTTAAATCCCTCCTTACACAAAAAAACTGGTCATCCTTTTTTACAAAATTATTTCACCCTATGGAGGACTTTTTTCTCATGTAAACAAGCCTGCTTCAAGTCTCAGATGCCTCACATCTTGTTCTAAGCATTCTCCCCAGCCCACCTGTCTCCAAGCGTGATGGCTAGTAGCAGGCAGTGTTCCAGCTATGGCCTCAGTTGCACTGAGAAATTCTCTCTTGTGGCCCTAAGGTACGTGGTTAATGCATTCCCTTACATGATGGTGTTGTGAAAATGCGAAGTCTTACCGACTTAAGTTAATATCTGCTATAGTGTCAGGTCTTTCTGCAACACTTTTCCGAACCAGCCATTTCTACTTGTATTGTCTCTTCATAAACCAATAAGGAGAATTAAAATTTAAAAAAAATAAAAGTCAAAAAAAAAAAAAAAAAAAAAAAACCCCCAAAAAGCCACAAAACAAAACCAAACCAGAAGACATTACTAGGAGGCTGATCAGAATTCACAAATTGCTTGTTAACCCCACCTTGATTAACTTCATTACAGATTTATTCATTCTATCACCCTTCTAACTGGTGAAAACACCAACTAACCTACCCTAGTACAGACTCTTAGAATACTCATTTCATTGTGACACTCACTAACTTTCTGTCTCCTTCCCTCTCTTTCTTTGCCAGTAAGCTATCCAATACTGATGCAGCTATTTCTGAGAAGTTAGATATTTGCTTGGTAGAACTTCTGATTGCTTTTCACTCAGAACACCCTAAACTTACGGTAAACAAAAGTTAACAGCACTTACATGGGGAAGTTGAACCTTTCTCCTCTTGCCAGAACAGCTCTAAAGAAAAGACATAATCAAAACAGACTTAATGTTGCACTGACAGAGGACCACAAGTAATTCTGTAACAATATTGACAAGAGTCTTCAAAGTACAGAAAGAACACTGACTGCCATTCCATGGATTAAAGAAATCTTTTTTTTATAATTAAGTACTTTGGAGAAATACTACTGGAGAGCAGTCAGAAGCTGTTGAAGCTTCTCCATGCTTGGCAGCCAACAACTATCAACTTAACTAAAGCTTCCTTCAGACAAAACCAAGATCAATATCCAGCTTTTGAAGCTGTCAATAATTTTCTCCCTAAAATTCTCCTGTATCCACACCAACGCAAAACTTTGGACCAAAAAATGTTAATTACTGCCACCACCACAAATTTTTCCCAGATCTCCATTCTAGAGAAGATCCTAAAGCACTTTCCATGGACAGTTCGGCTGGTGAAAGTGTACATTTCAAATCTCTGTTTCCAACAACTTGAAGGAATAGCCTCACAAATAAAGGATTTTATTGGTCTCCAATATAAACAAAAAAAAAGAAATAAAAATTTATAATATTGCTATTGATTTTTAATTGCTGACTCTTCTTTGGCTGGTCTCAAGGGAGAAGATATAAATTAAAATATGATCAACAATAAAAGAGATACTCTTACTGTTACATGGGGAAATAAGAGCAAGCTAACAGACAAGAAACTGCTACAGCCAAGCAGAGCCTGATGTAGTAACAACTCATGTTTTCTTTGTCCTGATCTCCTCAGGTGAATGAAGGATAGTAAAGCTTAAAGTAAAGTAAAGAGGCGTAACTCTGCCTGAAGACTAGCAACACAGAAACCGAAGTCATAGAATCACATGAAAGAATTTTTAAAGGGTTTACTCTCTCATCCTATTGGAAGTTACTTCACATGGCTGATCTTTAGTAATCAGATCATGTACAGAAGCCCAAAGGATTTCAGCTGACTTAAGCCATTAATGATTTGTATAGAGATCAAAACTTCAGTCAATTTTCT